TACCTTAACCCCAAATAAGCTACCTTTTTGAGGACAATTATATAAAAAATTCACAATAAGGAACCCTAAAAAGGTAGGTTCTTTAGGGTCCAGGCAGGGTTTAGGGTTTCAGGTTTGGGATTCTGCTTATAGGCCTTATGAATACGGCCTCACGAGGCCTCTGTTTCTGACAGCATGCCTTAGGATGTAGTTTCAGGGATCCCAGATTCCGGCTGTGCTTCACATAACGGCCTGAATCCTAAACCCTAAATTTACTAAACCCCTAAATCCAAATTCAACCTGAAACCCCCGACCCTCAACACTTTCCCTGCTCCGAGCTGGTTTCATCGCAAACTTCGCCTCGCATGGATGGGCGAAGACTGTGAAGCGGACCTGGGAAGGGTGCTTTGCTGAGGACGGCAGGATAGGTTGTGAAACCTAGCAAGAATGATATTCTGCTATACTATATTTTTGTAATATCTTGGATCTCAGATAATATGAGATATAATCGAGTGTCAGCCATGCGATGTGAGAGCGATCACAATACCCCGATTGAGGATTTAGGGGGTTGCCGGTGTCGGGCTGCTTCCGTATTTGGGTTAGTATGGCTTAACCCTAAACCCTAAACTCTAAACCCTAAACCCAAAACTCTAAACCCTAAACCCTAATGAAGGCTTTGCAACCGGGCCGGCACGGAGAACATGCTAGGTAGCGGCCATACCCTCGGCAGCTCTGATAAGATACCCGTGACTACTCAAACCTCAACCCTAAACCCTAAACTCCTAAATCCCTAAACCCTAAATTCTAAACCCTAAACCCTAAACCCTAAATTCCTAAACCCTAAACCCTAAATCCCAAAACCCAATACCCTTAACCCTAAAAACATCCTAAATTCCTAACCCAAAAGCTCCAACCTGCTCCCATGCTCTGTCTCTTTCAGATTTTTGTGTCTCCCAGCTTTCTGCCCCACTTTCCTCCCAATCTCTCTACGCCGGACCTTGAAATTGATATTCTAAGGACAGCTGCATGCATGCACGTGGATTAAAATTTGGGAAGAAACCACAAAAAGCACAGAACTACGAACAAGCTAACAACAAAGAACTGGACGTGGCAACAACTCACGTCAGTCATTTAAAGAACTATATATATATATAACTAACGTATAATAGACACCCGCGTATAGTGCAGGTCAGTGCAGGTGCGCATGCGACAGGTGCACATATACGTTTGTGGTCTCAACCCGCCGGGCGCAAAGTTTAGCTCCCAGCTCTTCGCAGAGTTTAGCTAGAGGATTGTCAGCGAAACAGACCTGGGAATGATGGCTTCGGGTTGTGTTTCCACATGGATACTCTGAATTCTAGACCCCTAAACCCTAAACCCAATCTGGCCGAAAGACCCTGAACCCAAAACAGAGCTGGAGGAGTCAAGCAGGGGCCTGTGGGACAGATCGGGTCCGAGGCGCAGTGCCAGGTGAAAACGACGCCAAAGCCCCCGCAATAGCCACAAGCTCCCTGCCCTACCTTGGTGGATTAGGGTTTAGGGTTTATATAGCGGTTTATAGGGTTTAGGGTTTATATAGCGGCTTAGGGTTTAGGGTTTATATAGCGGGTTTATATGGTTTAGGGTTTATATAGCGGTTGATAGGGTTTAGGGTTTATATAGCGGCTTAGGGTTTAGGGTTTAAGTAGCGGTTTAGGGTTTGGGGTTTATATAGCGGTTTAGGGTTTATGTAGCGGCTGAGGGTTTATTATTTATGTCATTATGTAGCGGTTTAGGCTTTAGGGTTGATATAGCGGCCTAGGGTTTAGGGCTTATATAGCGGCTTAGGGTTAAGGTCTATATAGCGTTTAGGGTTTAGGGTTTATATAGCGGTTTAGGGTTTAAGGCTTAAGGGTCACACCCTGTTTCCCAAACCTGAAATCACGATACCTGAAACTTAGTAGTTCGAGCAGGGTCGTGGGGTGCATGCAAGTCTAGGGCCTAGTCTAGGGATTTAGGGACTTAGGGTTTAGGGATTTAGGGATTTAGGGTTTAGGGTAAAGCAACGCTACGGGCCCGGCAACTCAAGTCCTGTTCCTCGGGTCCTGCAACGCCAGGGTGTCCTTTGATGCGGAAGAGAGGCCCTATAGTAGAGTTACATCAGGAACCCTCAATGCGCCTTCTTACCCAGAAGGTCCACATATACTGCCATTATGGAATTAGGCCCCAAAAGGCCAATTATGGTTTTTGGGGACTTGCTTCCATAGTAGCAGTAGATAAGGACTCTATAGGTTAGGGTATGAGCATTTATGATAAGGAGCCCAACAGCACCCATGATCTAATGGGTAACTTCTAGTGAAATTATATTGAGGAGCTCTTCAGACTAGTATGATCTGCTTGTTAAGACGCCTATATTTTCAGCATGTCTGCTTCAAACGTGCGAGGAGCAGTTCCCTCGAAGATCGTCAAGCGCTTCCGTGGCAGTTGGGCCTCACGATACTACTTGCAGGTTCAAAGCTTCGGGTTTGTTTAGGGTGTCGGGTCATTGGGCTTTGAGGATTTATTGATTGATAGTGTCTAGTGGTACTGAAACCTGAGATTCAAGAGGTAAGGTCATTGCATTCACACTCCGTCGGAACCCTAATGGAGGGACATATCTGAGTGGTTTTAGCATCGGGCCGTCGCCTACAGGGTTGCGATTCACGGGACCCTGAAGCCCTCCCCGGCCCCCTAACCCGGCCCTCAATACCCTCAACCTACAACCTCTGCTCCAAAACCCCTGCACGCTGAAACACCAAAGAGACATGGGAGGAAATACTGTAAGCATCTAAACGCCTTCGGGAAGGGGCGGGGGGGCCAAGGGGCAGGGGGACACTTCTCATGTGCAATCACTCCGACCCCTAAACCCCAACCCTAAACCCTAAACCCTAAACCCTCAAGCCCTAAACCCTAAACCTCTTATTAACAAGCCCTACAAAACATACGAAGCGCCTACACAAAGATGGGATGCTACACTGGAGGAAGATGCAGACTGCTCTCGAAGCAGCCTTTCTTTTAAGGAAAGAGCGAGGGTTTAGGGTTTAGGGTTTAGGGGCCTCAGGACTTAGAACAGAATCGGGTCTTGCGATTTTGGCCGTCTGATTGGGATAAGGAACCTAAAGCTATGAGAATATTGGTAACTGGTAACTATTCCGGCAAGTTGGGGGCCGTAGATACTTAGATTAGAATTTCGGCTTGCGGTGGAAGGTCCTTGGGTTGCTGCACCAGAACATCCAACAACTTCTCCGGGAACGTTCCAGCGGTGACCATATCCTGACATATCGGGATGTAAGGCTTCGCGGCTTGTCGGTTTAGGGTGTAGGGTTCAGGGATGCAGGGGTTTAGGGTTTAGTGGAAAAAAGCATTCAGGGTTTAGGGGTATGCATGCATACATGCACGGATAGATGGATGGATGGAGGGAGGAAGGATGGATGGGTGGGTGGGTGAAGAGATAGATGGAAACTGTCAAAAGGCTTTCAGCTTAGAGCTGCTGATGCTTGTTGTTCACGCAAGCGCGATGCTTGAACTATCGCGCCGATCGACAATGCCGAGAAGTAACTATATAGTTTTATGTATAGATACATACATATACATATACATAT